GGGCAGAGGGGCTGGGGAGGCTACATGGACTCGGCAAACCCACCTCCCCTGGTGTAGCATCCTCAGCCTGTGAATGGACGAGCCTTGAGTGCTCAAGAGTGTGGGGTCTGCTCCTGGCCCACCACCTCCTGCACTGACCTCTGCTCTCCCTCTGCAGGGCTCGAGGGTGACAAGAAATGCATCATGTAAGTGCTGAGCTACCCCTGGCTGAGGGTTTCCTGGGGCTCATGGCCCCACAACCAGGCTGTCCTGGGGCATGTCCTCAGCTGAGGTGGTGTGGGTCACGGCTGCCAATCCCAGCTGCCTGCCCCAGGAAGGTCTTCCCTGAGTTCAGGAGAGATGTGGGGGACAGTCCAAGAGGGTGACCCCCTCCTGGCTTTCCCCAAGGAAGAGGAGGCACTGCAGCTGTGGCCCTGGCTGGCTTTTTGTGGGAGGAACAGGGATCCCCACAGCAAGGCTGGGGAGGGTGGTGGGAAGGCCATGCTGCTGCACTAACGCGGCCTCTCCTGCCCTTTATCATTTCAGAAAATTTGAATTTAACCCCAAAGATGGGATCGACAACCCTGCCTTGTCTCTAGCTGAGGAGACGGGTAAATACCCTCATCTCCCCAGGCATCCCTGTGTCAGCTTGGGGTTCTGGCAGCTGGGCATGGCTGGGGTCCTGGGCTCTCTCCCACTGGGCAGCTGTGGGGAGGTGAACACATAAGGCAGCAGGGATGGGGAGATCCTGGGATGGGGAAACCCCAGCCTGGAATGGGGTAGAGAACATGTGTTAGGATCCCTGCAGGGCCCCCCTCACGGGCTGTGCCCCCACGCAGATGGCGAGGGCATGGGGGAGCCCCGCTTCTACCTCCTGAGCAAGAGCAGCGGGGAGACCTTCGGCTTCTGCCTCCATGAGGAGCTGGGCTGCCAGGGCCACATCATCCGGCAGGTCAAGCTGGGGGGGCTGGCACAGCGCAGGGGGCTGCAGGATGGGGACCGGCTCCTCCAGGTCAACGGCCACTTTGTGGACCACATGGACCACCACAGGGTAAGCTGGGAGTACCCTGGGGCTGTGGGAAAGCCTGGGTCCTCCCCGGCCAGGGGCACAGAGGGTGCGGGAGCCCAGTGTCCCCCGGGGCCCCGATCCCACGGGCCATGGTTGGAGGGGTGCCCTGCCCAGGGCTCACAGCCTGGGCCCTTGTAGGTGGTGCAGAAGATCAAGGCCAGTGGGAACCAGGTCCTGCTGGCCGTGCTGGACAGCGACTCCTACCAAGCAGCCAAAGCCCTGGGCAGGGACCTCTCCCAGATGCTGCCGGATGACATCCACCCACGCCTCTGCCACATCACGCGGGACAAAAGCGGTTTTGGCTTCAGTGTGTCGGGTCCGGAAGGTAAAGCAGGCAGCGGGATGCCAGTGCTGTGAGCCTCCTGGACGCAGCATCCCGCTCACCCCACACTGCCTCTTCTCCTCCCTGCAGGCATGAAGGGCATCTTCCAGCTCTCGGTGCGGCAGGATGGGCCAGCTGAGAGAGCAGGGGTACCACCAGGCTCCTGGCTTCTGGAGCTGAACGGAGTCAGCGTGAGAAGCTACTCGCACGTGCAGCTCACCAGAAAGGTGTGCACGCCTGGTGCAGGTGGGTGAGGGACCGGGACTGGCAATGTCACTGAGCGCCCTGCGTTTTCCATCCAGATTAAGCAGAGCGGCAGCAAGGTGACGCTGCTGGTGGCATCCAGTGCCGTGGAGGAGTTTTACCGCCTGCGGGGCCTGCAGGTCACGGCTGCCTTGGCGGACACCTCCTGGCTCCCCTTCAAGGTCCGGGAGCTGCACATGGTAAAGGGTCCTGCTGGCTATGGGTTTCTGCTCAAGGAGGATGACTGCAGCTCAGGGGCCACAGGTGAGGCAGCTGAGGGGGACAGTCCATGCCTGAGCAAGGCATGTCTGAGGGCTGGGAACAGCTGCAAGTCCTGTGCCCGCAGTGGGACCTGCACATGAGGGTCAGCAGTGCCAGTTCCCCGCTGGCTGAATGCTCTGTGAGCATCTCTCCACTCTCCCTCTGTCCCACTGTGGCAGGCCAGTTCCTGTGGGATGTGGATGCAGGGCTGCCAGCCGAGCAGGCAGGGATGAAGGAAGGGGACCGCCTCCTGGCTGTGAACGGTGAGAGCATCGAGGGGCTGGACCACCAGCAGACGGTGCTCAGGATCTGTGCCCGTGATGACCAGGTGACGCTGCTGGTCATTGACCCCGCTAGCGATGAGTTCTACCAGTCGGTAGGTTTTGGGGACCCAGCGTGGTCCTGCCCTGGCTGGGGAGCCCTGAGGTGCTGCGAGGCTGGATGATGGGATGGGTGTCTTGTCCCCAGGCCTGCACAGTGAGGTCCTCTGCAGAGGACCTGGCTTGCCTGGCAGAGCCAGGAGCTGCACAGATATCCCTCTTCTGCTCTTCCAGATTGGGCTGTCCCCTCTGCTGTTCTTTGAGAACAGTGACCCTGCCTCAGGCTCCCGCACACCCTTACTTCCCTCTCCCAGTGGCTCCCCTGGACTCTGTCATGTTGAGGTGAGACCAAAGGGACCTGGCTCCTGGCTGGTGGATGCTGCCAACAGTATCGGGATCACACAGGTAACCCCTCTTGCCAGGCCCTTGCGGTAGCGCTGCTCACAGCCCAGCACTGCTCTGAGTTCTGGCACCCTCCTGCCCTGCCTGTCCTTATATTTCCCTGGCATCTGTGACACTAGCAGGAGGGAGCTGCATGGTCCCCTGGCCACAGGGACCAGGCAGAAAGATCCCTCCCACCTGCCCATGGGGCAAGGGTGGAGTGTGGTGGGGTGGGTGTACATGCGCTGCCCACAATGCCCCTGCTGTGCCCCTCGAGACCCCGCGCCCGGAGGAGCAG